GGGATTTTGTTAAATAAAGCAATTTACTTTTCAGTTGATGCAAAGTCACTAAGGTTTTAAAAGTGTTTGCTTTGGGTCCTTTATCGTGTGTGGAGTTTTATCCTTATTTGAGGTATCAAAAACCTACCCACGATGCACGTCAGCATTGAGGGGGTCATTCAACCAAAGCTCACAGGCGCTAACTCTCGGCAAAGCCTTTTTCGCCCAAGATCAATTTGCCAGAAGTTAGACTAACCCAGGCAACTGGGAGGTAGAAGCTGTGAAAACGTAGTGTCTTCCTCCCAACTAAGGGGTCCCCGTTCTTCTGTTCCACACCAAAGAGCAGGAGTGCGTTTGCCCAGACTCCGGGAGGGAGCACATCACGGGACAGAGTGCTAAACCTTCCCGGGCTCTTTCTCTTCCCACTCGCGTAATTAGCGCTCCTTTCTTTTACTTTTTAAAAATGTGCCTGTTTCGAATTTGTATTATTTTTCTCAGATGTCTAATTGCAGTTATGTTCTTTCCCTCTCTTGGTCTCTTCCCGCATTTCACATACCAGACAAAGATTTAAAGGTCTGCGAAACCAGGCGAGGTTCCAAAATATTTCTAAATGAAACCGCCATAGGTGACAGAACAGGGAAGGAAGGCAAAGCTGTAGGGCAGAGATGTGAATACACTGGCTGCAAATGTGTTGGAAAATCTATGTGAGTCGCTGTAGCCATGGATGAGGTTTTGATGAGGCATAAACATTCAAGTTACTGACAAAACCAGCATGTTTCATGATCACTCAAAGCAGTATACTTGTCATGGTGCATTGCTTTTTCCATATATTAGTAAGTTGCTCTCTCTCTTTAAAAACTGTTTCTTTTTTAGTATTCAGGAAGGGAAAGTATTGAAGAAAACATTCAAAATTCTGAGACTACATGTAAGTGAAATATTTAATGTCTGTCATTCATAAAAGTTACATCATTTACATAGGGTTCATTTGTATATAATAAAAATTTCATCATAATGAAAATTTTTCTGGAAAGCATTTTATATGTTAATTTGTTTAACATATGCTTTGGATATACAGCTAAATAGGAATAATTAAAAAATTCTTTCTTCAAATATTCCCTTTAACAATTAAAAAACCTCATTACTAAGTATTTGCTTTTCTTTCCATTTATCCTGTGTTTGTAATAATCATATGCAACTTGAACTATGCAAAGATTGGATCTTTTCATAGTTCAGAATATATTTCTACACTTCATAAATTCATTCATTGCATAGCAAACATGTAAACTCACAGAGGATCTATAAATTTTATCCTAACAATCTAAAAAAAGTTGCTGAAATTGTACACAATAGTTTGTTCTGAGGTTCACTTTTGTCGTAATTTGGGTTTACTCTGTTGTTGTTTTTAATACATGTGTCCATTGAATACAACTAATGAAAATAAGTCATGAAAAGTTAAAAACCAAGTAAGTAATTTTTATCCTCGATTACTAAAATTTAACCTCGTTATAGTGTTTGGATTTTTTTCATAGCAAGTTGTAAATGTACTGTGCTGCCTCTTTAAGACAGAGTTCAAAATTAATTCCAACAGTGTATTTAACATAAAGTTAACTATGTTTGCGTCAAATAAAATGTTTATTAATGAAAGCTATTTATCATACAAGAAACAGCAAAGATAAGTCATCATACAGAGATGTACACTAGAGCTGATAGGTGTAAAACTGCATGCAGAGATTTCTGTTTAAAAAGAAAGGAATAAACAATGGTACTAAAATTACCGGATTTTGACCCCTATACTCTTAAATGAGTGATAGCTTTTCTTTGAATTTACAGTTGGAAAATGCCATTAACAGGACTGATACACATTAGCAAGCAGGTGAAATGAATGCTTTTGGACTTTATTGTACAACTATTTGTGCTTGACAAATGTGTGGAATTTTTTTCAGTAATAATTTTCTTCAGATACGGGGTGGGCATATTACTGCCAGGTTGCTCTGGTTTATACAACGTTTATCTAATTTTGTTTTAAACCACATAATCTTAATCCTTCACGTGTGTTAGACGCCATAAAGAACACAAGCTGCGTTAACATTCAATAAATGACATTTAAGTCTTTCTCTCTCTCTCTTCCTCTCTCTCTCTCTTTTTTGGCTCAATAAATTTTTAAATGTATGATTATCATAACCTAATAGTGTCTTTGTCTTCACTGCAGTGGATTTCCGATCAAACTTTTCCCCTTCTTTTAATACTTTAGGGAATTTTCAAACGTCGGGATGTTTGGCTGTAATGCCCCAAGATTTGTTCTCCCTGAAAAAAATCATAGTGACAATTTATTAACTACAGAGCAACTTGGCTTTTAGGGGTCTGCAATATCTATTTAGATTTACAAATATCCATTTGTGCTCAAGAGACCTAACATTAAATCTTAATCATATTTAAGGTTTCTTTTCATGCAATTACTTTATCTGCTAATTATCTTTTTTTATTCTAAAAATTGGACTGAGTCAAATCAGTGGGGCATTACTTTTATTATAAGTAAATATATTTAAAGGTAATTCTAGGCTGAGTTACATTGCATGTGCAACCGTGTGTACATTTAATATGAATCAGAAGTTTGAAAATCTAAAAACTATTTGTATGTTTAAATATGTTTTTTAAATTTCATATTACCATTTTAATAGCTTTTACATATAGATATTGGGAACACACTAGTACAGTTAAAACTTAAATAAAACTGGTGGGAAATAAAACTCCTTAGATTCAAAATGGTTTATTCACACAAATTTAATAGGATATATCACAATTGTTTGGTCCATAAATATTTAGGGGAAATAGTTTCTATACAATGCATTTATCAATAAACAAAGAAACATGGACAATTTTGCTAGACCACTTACTGTACTATAAACACGAAGCTCAATATATAAGATTATTGAATTTATCAACTATATTTGAAAGAGTGCACAACTGCTTTCTATGACATGTTTGTCCCCTCTAACAGGATACACCATAAAAAGAGTTTCAGAAATAAGAAGTGAAACAGTACAAAACTAGTGAGGTGTCAAAAGGGCTTAAAACAGTTAATTTAACAAACAACACATATATCCTGATTTTTCACAAACTTACTTCCAAGTTATATCATAAGGCACATAGGAGAACTGAGTTATAATTAGTCTACTTAATAAAGTAGATCTATAGTACCATATATTGTTCTGTCAAAGAACAAAATTTATAAGTGTCAATATTTTACCTGTAAAACTGTATTTAATAAGATCTCAGCCTTACCAAGGTTGTTTGGTCTGGTTAGTGGTAAATGCCCAAAATGTAATAGAAATATGAAAAGTCAAGATTTAAGCTCCATAGAAGATGATAACCACACTTGCTAAATATATAATGGCAATCACACTTTTCTTCTGTTACAGTGTTAACTTATCTTCCATCATCTTTTTTTAAAAAATAAGCTACTTTCTGTGCTAATTTTCTAAAGACCCTGAGCAAAAGTTACAATAATGCACTTTAATGTGGGCAGTGAGCTGTCAATATGTAACCACACATTTATACAGCCAGAAGGACACCTTTAAAATCTATTAAATAGCCACTTAGACCACCAGAGGAGATTTAAGGGGCCCAAAAAGTGGAGAATATGTGCAAAGTTATTCTTAACAATCCACTAAAGCAAGACATATATCTTGACTTCTTTTTTATTTTGTTTAGGAAATCCACAATCTAATTGGTATTTAACTACAACAGAAGCATATAGATGAACATTCACCACTGCCCAGACCATTAAGATTTTAGCTTAAATTAAAGAAAAAAAAAATGCTACTGTAAACTAGGAAATATATCCAGATCAGCATCCACAAGGCTTCTGAGTTTATCTACTTTAAGACTAATAACTTCAAATCTCTAATGTCAGAAAAGGGGTTTTTTGACACATTAAGTCAAACTGTGCCAAAATAAAAACAAAACAAAATCAAAGAATTCTCATTGTTAGTATTAGTCTATCAGGTTGGGTTTTTTAAAAAACATTATTCATATAGAATGCCAGATACAATATGATGGTACAGCTGAAGCCAATTAAGAGAGCTATTAATTAAATGATACCAATTTTTTGACTTCTTAAAAAATTATATTTTGCTTATTTCCATTTCCCTGGGGAAAAAAAGTAATTTAGAAGGAATGGTTTCAGAGGGGTTTCGGGGGGGAGTTGTTTGTTTTGTTTGTTTGTTTGCTCTAGGAGGGTAAAAGTATAGAATTTCAGATTCTATGTGGAATTTTCATGGATACACAGGGAGTTTAAGTATTTTCAAATGTTGCACAACAAATAAGTGAAAAGTTTTTTAGGTTGTACATCCCTAAGAGAAGGAAAAGTCCCATTCCTGGAAGAGATTTCCCACCTAATTAATCAATACTATTTAAAATTGCCATAGTTAATGCTTCTGTTTAATCATATTCCTCATTTGATTTAACAGTCCAGATAAGAAATAGAAATACTCAAAACAATTTTTTTCGGTTCTAAAATTAAAAAAAAAAAAAGGAATGTCATCAAAATTCCACAATCACATGTACTATTATAAGACTTTAAAAATAACTCTTTAATTAATTATCTGGTCCTTTATTCACCTAATCACTTAACTGGGAATATGATTCTTTGCCCATCATCATACCACTCATTTTTTTTTTCTTCGAGATTCTGGAAATAAGTAACATACAATTTTAAGAGGCACTTATAAGAATGATTCAAAAACTCCCCTTCCCGACCGAAAGACCTAATCCGTCAAAGAAAAAAGAAAAAAAATCCAGATACACCTTGCAGACAGAACAGTCCCTTAGAGGAGACGATGCCGTAAACTCATGCGCCAAGTGGCTGCAGATGCTCCGCACCCAGCTGCTGCTCTTATCCCCAAATAGCTTGCGGGTTAGGAGGGAAGAAAAAAAAAAAAAAAGTCTTGCAAATAATAAAATAATAATAATTAGAATAATAATAAAAAGAAGAAGAATTGGGGGGAAAAAAAAAACCAATGTTAGAAAAGGCTCGTTAGGGTGGTCTGCGAGGGGCTCCCGGGGTCGCGGCCGTCCGGGCCCGAGGTCGCGGGCACGGCCGCGGCGACGGCGACAGCGACAGCGGGGGCGGGCAGGTCTGCCAAGGCGGTGCCGGGCGGGCCGAGCGCGTCGCTGTCCGCGGGGGGCGCGGCCGGGAGCGCCCCGTCGGCTTTATCGACTGCCCCGTTCTCCTGCCGCAAAAGGTTCCTTCTGAATTTGGCTCGTGCGTTTTGGAACCACACCTGCAAACCAATCCCGGTTGATCGCTTTACCGATGCTCGTGTGCATGTTTCTCTCTTTTTTTTTTTTGATCTAGGCCTCTCCTTTGAAATATACTTGTGCATTTTTGGGGGGAGGAGAGGGGCTTTTTTTCTTTGTTTGTTTTAAAACAGAATCATTCAAGGCACACTGCAGGCTTATGGCCTCTCGCTTGCACGGAGTCCGCCCCCTGGCGTGAGCAGGTGCCTCTGGAAGCAGCTGAGGCTCCAGGGGGCGCACCGTGGGAAGGGAGGCGCAGGGAGAGAGGGAGGAAGACAGACCCTGATCCCTCGGCTGTTGTCTTTGGAGGGGGGAGGAGAGAAGCAGGGCCATTAAAACGAGCATCTCTGAGACAGACTTGGAGCTATTCAAGAGTCTGACCCACGCACGCTTTCTCCGCACAGGAGAAAGTCTCCCAGAGCCACAGACCTCAGACAGCCCGGAAGTGCTCAGCAGAACTTAAAGTGCCTGCTAGTTGCCACCGAGAAGTGGGAGAAGATCACACGTGACTTAACAGCAACCCATTATAATTTCATTAGTTGCATATTCTTAGCATGATGAGCTTAAGGAAGAAATTGGACGGCAAAACTAACTCCCAGTGTTTAGTTTTTAATTGTGGTTTGTTAAGGTGGGAAAACACTTGCTCCAGTTGGTTGCTCAGACACTAACCATAGTTTTAGGAATTGAAAAAAAGGGTCCGGCTGAATCTGGAAGGTCATGGCGTGTGAGTGAGCCTGCTAAGAGTCTGCTGAAGAAGACAGCGCTAGCAGGTCCCTTGTAAGTCTGTGCACTGCACTTAATGTGAATGAAAATCTCCAGAGCCACAGCTTGTGCAAATAACACCACTTGCATTCACACAGCACTAAGGCAAGTTGTGCTGGCTTTGGGGGACCCATCTCCCCATCTGTGGGGAGAATGTGGCTGCACTTAAAAAGACTCTGGGTCTCTGAGCACCCTCCAGGGAGCCCCTGAAACATCTCAGGATACTCTCTAGGGAGATAACTAAGATAAACTAATAAGAAGCAGCATAAGAAATATCCACGTCACTCTAACCAGGGCAGAGAACTACTTTTACTGGCAAGGGGAAGGGAGATGTATGCACAAAGATGAAGGTGTCTTACCTGCAGAACTCTTTTGGTCAGGCCTGTTTTCTGGGCAAGCTGCTTGAGGTCCTTGGCATCCGGGTTGTGGTTGATGGCAAAGTAGGATTTCATGGTCCGGAGTTGGTGGTGCTTGAAGGAAGTTCGCATGCGCTTGGTCTTCTGAGAGGGTGGGTAAGGCTGCTGGTCCCGGTCCAAGTGGTCTGCCTCGTTTTCATTACAACCTGTTGCAGTAACAGTGAACAAACGACTGCTCAGTGGAAATTTCTGCATTGGCTGAAATGATGGCAGGAGCTACGATGCTGCTATGATAACAAGGCAATTGTGGAAAAGGCTGTCAACCCAGTTAGGAAGAAAAAATTGCCAAAGGGAGCCAAACTAGTCTGATAATGTAGATACAACTGAAGTTTATGTAACAGAAAAATATTAATCAAATCCTCTCTTTCGCTTAATGGTTGCTAGAAAAATTGGGGAAGATTAAGAAACGCTAAGTCATGATGTGGGACTAAGAGAGAGCTCCAACAGTCAAAAGAAGAAACCCTTTTCTAATAAAGTTGTGAGTATCAGCCCCCCACTGCCCACACTCACACATGGTTTCCGCGAGACTCTACATTCTGTCTATATTTCTGGAAGGAGACAGTGTCTGAAGGCATTGCTTTTTGTCATAAGGGATATGGCAAGCAAATATTTCAGCTCTCTGGAAGTTTCTGAGAGCCTACCAGCTAAGGGAAAATCTAAATCAGTTTCAAATTTGAGCCTTATTCCTGGGGCTTTTTCAAACAGGAAAAAGAAAAGTGGTTGGGAAAGGGAGAGGAGTTGGGAATGAAGAATTTGCAAATTTGTTTTGTACACATAAGAATATTATTTTTGAGAGCTTTTAGCTGTAACTGGTTATTATAGCACTATACCAGAAAGAAAATGTTTTCCCCTGGAGTGATTTCAATAAATATTTCTAAAAGGGAATGAGCCCAGACTTCTCTTCCCTCGGTTTACGCCTGAAGCTCTCCCCACAGCTCACAGTTAAGAGGCACTGACAGTGCTTATTTCCAGGCTCAGGTCTTAGTCCCTCTTGCTCCAGGTGCTTGTGAGCGGGATGTGAGCTGTGCCCACGCTGGCCTGGCAGAGAAAGGGTGGCATTTTCTCTCCCCTTGCAAAGCCTTTCTCAGCACCAAGCGCAAAACAATTCCAGTCTTTGAAACCAGCCAGAAAGTCATCATCCCCAGGATGCAAAGCTGCATACTTAAAAGGTCATTTCCAATAATCTCCTGGCCCTGGATAGGAAATATAATCGCAAATGAAAATATTGTGCTAAATATTTACTGAATCAGCCAACTTCACAAATTAAAGTGCATGGCAATTATTTTCTTCAAATCCTTTCTTCAGATATATATTCAGACCCAATCATCCTGCATTTTAGTGCATTATAATAGAAGATATAAAGTCAACCTGATCGTGTCATTTAAGGGAGAAGAAACTTGACTCTTAAAAAAAGTGAGGCATCCCTTGATATGAGGTCTTCCATTCTGCTTGATAAAATATTATCTGCCTGCTATGCTCTGGTTAGAATTACTTTTTAAAAAATATTCAGCAAATCACATATTTATAGAAACACAGAAGTTTTAGAGTCATCAACCAAGAGGTCAGCCACATACAAAAATCATGTAACAGGAAATTCCTCCTAATGTAACAGGATTAGGCATGAACTAATGTCTCCTTTGTATTTCCATAAGACACATAGGAAGGAGACCATACTTGGCAGAAAAGCAGGTAAGTTATTGAGGGAAAGGACTACACCATATTCACCTTTGGATCCCCCGAGTCAAACACAGGGTCAGCAGCTCAAGAAGCATTCAATCAAGATTTTGAATCTTTTGTTCATCAGTAAAATTGCAAGTGAATATTAATGCCAAATTAAATCAACTTGAAGTGGAATCCAAGTTAGATATACATTCGGATGTTGAACATTAGGCTTCTTAAACTCCACCAGAAAAAGTAACCATATACCCAGAGATAACACAGAGAGCATACTTTACATTTTATCCTATTTCATCCCAGTGGGGATATGTCAAGTTCAAATATGCTACAGAATTGCACTTTCATAGCCTCAAATGGATGAAATAGCATCTCTCTGACCTACTATAAAACTATGCTTATCTCCAGTAAACTGAGCTATATTTCACAACCAGATTATAAACATACCCACAACAAAGTGGTCAAAGAAGCGCATGCTAGTCACTGGAGGCTTCTTCAAATAAGATTTCTTTCCTATCAGATGTGACTAACATGTAACTCTTCCTGAACAACATAGCAAACTGAGTATTACACTTAGGGCAGAAGACTTAATTCCCCTAGCCATTCCCCCCTCAAGGTGATACTTTTTGTAAATGAATATGATTCCCGATCTAACTATATAATCATTAATTCTTAAAATGAAGTTTATGAAAAATAATTGTAGTACTGTTGTATGAAAATGAAATTGCTTCCATGAATATGCATACTACATCCATTATTGCTGGATTTAAAATTTAGCAGAGTATTTTAATGCATTAAATACAATTATAGGCCTCGTTTCTACATAAAATACACAATTTCAATGTGTAAAGAGCTAGGCTGTCAGATTTTGATTAAACAGTACTGGATATGATTTTCCTGTGACCATGTTATCACATATTATGCAACTTGAGAGAGAAATCTATTTGTTCTACAGAGTAACTCAGTGCATTATCCTACATTATTTCCATTTAACTACAAATGAATTATGGAAACTTGCAAATTATTGTGTTTCTTCAGGTCTATTTCTAAAACCATAGGGGTCTTTTCTCCCCACATTATGCGATGAAATAACTCTTAAAATTGTCCTAAACATCGACCTGTAAGTACACAGCTGGTATTATAAAGTTAGTAAGAAGATCTAAATATTTTATTTTCAGTCCCGTATGAGATAGTCACCTATCCCAAAGTGAGTCCCTCTCAGTTCTGAGTGTGCAACCTGCTGAGAATCAGCTGATCCCTAGAAGACCACTAGGGGTCAGTGCCAGGCTAATTTAACAACCAGGAGCCTGAAGCTTGAATGGGAAGAAAGAACCCAAGGAAAGGAGATTTTGAGAAATGGCAAAAGTTTGGTCCCTCAATTAAAGCTAAATTACCCAAATAGGATCTGCCTATCCCAAACTAAATTTTCTTTTCACCTCTGGAGGGCTTTATTTCAATCCAGCATTTCAAATAAACTTTCACGTCTCTTTCTTAAATATCTGCCTGATTAATTTGCACAGAGGTATAAACTAAGAATATTCTCATTAAAAGGCATTTGCTTTATGTCCAGCACTAACTGACCTTTGCCAAGTTTCACGTCTTCTCTGAGAGTCTTTAAATCATAAACATGCTTTTTGTGCATTTTAAAAAACATATCACTGTGTAAATTATACTTGGTTTAGTATCAACATTATCCTTAATGACACTTGTGTACATTTAAGCAGAGATGGCAATATAAAATCCAAAGGAGACTAAAATAATTTAAAACTGCGGGTCCATTTTATTTTCTACAGTTTAATATGTGTTCAATTTACTGAAGGGTTTCTTTTCCTAGTTTTGTAACAAACCAGCATTCAATTCATAAACACTTTTTTAAATACTGGGCTCATTTCTGGTCAGGCATCTTTAAACCAGTTAATCTAGATTATTTTCACCTAATCTTTAAATACACACACACACACACACACACACACACACACACACTATTTACTCATATCTCTGGGGAAAGTCCAGAAGCGATGGGTGGGGCTCACTGAGAGGCGTCCAGTTTGCAGTGACGTGATAGACAAACTCTTTGGGTTAAGGGGCCTCAGCCACTTTTCCCTCCTTCAGGAGCAGGACAACATCAACCTTCTCAACAATTTGTAGCAGCACTAAGTAGCTCAGAAGGAGATTTTCATTATTTTTAAGAAATAAATTTGTACTTTCTAGATCTCTTCAGAGAAGTAAGAGAAGCTAAATTGTACTGTTCTTAGGGCTCCTTGGGTCTTTCTAACATAAAGTAAGAGCCAAGGTGAAATCAAATTTAGCTAATTGGATTAAATACACAAGTAAAAAGCCAGAATTGTTGCCTTTTGGCTAGAAATCTCCATCCTTATGGACTATAACCCGGCTGCAGTAGCCCTCTCTCCAAAAAACTCGCTAGTTATATATGTGTTTCTCTCCCTCTTTCTCTCCCTCTCTCTCATTAGGGCAGTAGGGCCTCGATGAGTGGCTCAGATTCCGATGTCATCTTCTATTAATAAAGAACAATTAGTGCCCTGCCCGCCCTGCCCCGGACCATGCATCAAAGGAGACGCAGCGAGCCCGCTGGGCAAGGCGGCCCCTGAGCAAATCCCCTGCCCGGCGCAGCAGGGGTGAGGGCCAGGGCGCAGCTCGCTACCCAGGGTTGGCAAAACCCAGGCTGTGCCTGCTGCCCGCACACAGACCCACCCTGCTGGGGTCCACAGCCAGCCAGCCAGTGCACTTCCTGTCGTGCAGCGACCCTGGCATGAACCTCCCAGGGACAAGCGCAGCCAGCACTGGGCTCCCCAGTCCCCATTCTCCCTGCGACCCTGCCCCTTGCGCCTGCCCAGAACTGATTGTTCCTCCTCAGTAAGATCTGCCGCGGAGACTCCAGGACAGAGCCTGGCAGAAGTCTGGGGGATGCCCCCTCAGCCTGTGTGGCTTCCCTTGGAAGCTCTCAACTCAGAGCAGGACTCCTAGTTCCACAAGCACGCTGGCCGTATGAGCCGGGGCAAATCACTTAACTGGCCAGACACTGTTCCTTTACCACTGAGCAACAATGTCAGGCACATGCCAGGCACTGGGGACTGGGGCAGAAAAACAGGCAAGAGCCCTGCTGCCCCGGGGTGCCCACATTTGCTATCTGGGGTGCTCATGGTAACAGGGAGGTTGGCACAATACAATTCCCAAAGTCCGTTCCAACAGAACGGTCTGCCCTTCCCAGACTGTCCTGCTCGCTGAGACCCCAGCCAAGCGTGGGCCAGGCCATCGAAGTCAGAGCGGTGAAGGTCCTTAGGCTCCCCAAAGTTACCCAGGCCTTTCCGAAACCCCTTTTTCCAGTGGCTGGTACTCGCAAGAGCTTCTGTCCTGCTCAGGTTGTGGTCTGCAGGGCCCGTCACCATCCTCACCTGGGGGATGGGAGCAGGGGGCAGGCTACCCACAACGGGAAATTGATGCGTGGGAGAGAAACTGATAAATGATGGGCGTGTCCCCAAAGCCAGCAAGAAAGTATGCTCTGGGACTGTGCCTGCATTTGGTTTTAATGAAGAGAGGAGGTTGGCAGGGGACAGAAGGGCAACCTGAGGCACCACTGAGCTCTTCAGCGGGCCTGGCCGGGAGGCTCTCTCAGCCGGCCCAGGGCTCCAGGTCTGGACGGTCTATCACACAGAGAACCAGCCGCTGGACGGACAGTCTGATTTGGGAAGGACACGGGCCAGCTCAGCCGTGGAGAAGGATTCCCACCCCTACCGCTGCCTTGGCCAAGATCAGGGATTAGGTTTTTCAACGCTCTTGCCAACTGTGTTCCTGATTAACTTCAGGCTGGTGACCACAGCCTCTGCCCCCTCTAGACAGACCGAGGTTGGGCTCTGAAGATTTTTTTTTCCCTTCAGTATTTAGGAACCCCTCCTCCAGGATCTATAATCTGGCTTCCACAAAGGAATTGCCCTGGGGCTGCTTTGCTCCGACCGGGAGCCAGAAACTAATGGGCTCATTAACTAATGGGCAGCGAGGATCCGGCTAGGCCTGTTCGGGGGAAGTCGCCGAGCCCCACAGTGACCAACGTGTTTTTTGCCACAACCTAAATAAAGCGTTGTCTCTGCCTCCCGCTTCCCCTGCCCTCCGGCCCCTGCCTCCTTTCCCCGGAGGGAGGGCGCTGGGCAGGGCCCCCGCGCTGCAGGACCTGGGGCGGGGAGGCCAAGCATCCTCCCGGGGAGGCCCGGGCCGGGCCTGCGGGGCCCACCTGAGCCGTAGCCGACGATGTCCACGCCCAGCGCCGGGCTCTTCCGCTTGCGGGGCCGCCCCTTCTGCACGGTGCCCGCGCCGTTGAAGTAGGGCAGCGCCAGGCCGCCGCCCTTGGCCGCCAGCTCGGAGTAGCCCAGCGGCGGCGGGTACTCCCCTTGCAGCAGGGCCTCGAAGTGCGCGCGGCAGTACACCAGGCTGTCCTTCATGCCGAAGTGGTCGCCCGTGGTCAGCGTCTTGCTGCAGGTGGAGCAGGTGAAGCAGCCCAGGTGGTAGACGGAGTCGCGGGCGCGCATCACCATCTCGGAGGCGGAGATGCCAAGGTGGCAGCGGGCACATCTCTGCACGGAGAACCTTCTGGAAGGAAACGGTGGAGTCAGGGCGCGGGCGGAAGCAAGACAGAGCCGTCTCCCACCTGCGATGCCTGCGCTTGGTCTGCAGAGGCCCAGGACGGAGGCCTGGGAAGGCTCCGGAGGACAGGACGTGGGGCCCATTTGGGCATCGATTTTATTCGCTCATTGGCCTGTTCTGGTGGCCAAGACCAAAAAAAGAAAAGAAAAGAAAAGAAAAATCCCTTACATTAAAGTCAGAAGAACCGGGCAACTGAGTCTCCACTGCCTTTTCTGTAACGTGAAGATTAAAAACAAAACAAAACAAAACACTAAGCAAACGCGCCTGCACTGGCTCGCAGAGCGCTTCACGGCCGAGGGAAAACGGTCGATTAGAAAACACTGCGGATGAAGGAGGTGTCGCTATTCCCGGACGCGGCCGCAGAGAACGACAGCTTTGCGGGGGGGGCTGCGCTCCTTTCGCCGCCACCTGCGCGCGGCCCGGTCCCCCCAGTCCGGAAACGGAACCGGGCAGAGTCAAAGACGCTGCCTCTGAGTCTCCTCTCCGGTCCGGCGGACTCGGTTCTAACCGGCGGTAAAGGAACTCGGCACCGAGTGGCTTCGGCCTCCGCAATGGCGTCTATTCCGTTTCGAACTTATCCGCAAGGCCTCCTGCCCCCCGCGACGACCCTGACACCCGGCTGCTCCCGCCCGCGCCCCCGGTTCAGCTCCAAGGCGCGGAACTCGCCCAGTTCGCAGTAAGCGGAGAAAAGGGGGAGAAGAGAAACATAAAGGGATCAGGCTCGGTCGGCCGAGACACACCCGCTCGCTCTTCCCCGCGCTCCCCGGGTTCTGCCAACCGAGCGCGCTCCGCACCTCGAGGCCCGCCCGGGCCCTGCGGCCGGAAGGCGCGCGCCCGGGGTCTCCCTGCGGAAACGGCACCGGGACCCCAAGGGGCAGGAGACGGGGGAGCCGGGGGGCCGGGAGGAGTGGGGCGGGGCGTACCTGTAGTAATCCTCCTTGCAGTAAATGCTGCCGTCCTTGGCGAAGCAGGTGAGCTCGGACTCGAGGGCCAGCTTACATTCACAGCACTTCAGGCACCTCAGGTGCCACTGCTTGTCCACGGCCAGCAGGTAGTACCTGTCCGAGATCTTGCCCCCGCAGCCGGCGCACAGAGCGGGCTTCTCGGGGCTGAGCGGGGGCACGCCCTGCAAAGCAAGCGCACTGCGAGGCTGGGGGCGCCGGCGCCCGCGCGCGGGTTCCCTTCCCGGCAGAGCGATCCTGGGGCCGGCGGGGGCTGGGGGCGGGGTGCACATCTGCGGCTGGCTCGTCCCCCCTCTTCCGCGTCTGCCTGACCCCGCGGACGCGTCCTCCCTGGACTATCAACCTGAAGACGTCCCAGCCGCCCAGCCTCGCTTGCACGGGACTGGGGCCGTGCTGACTACAGTTCGGTGGGTGTTCAGAATTCAAATAATTAGAAGCTAAAAATGGTGGCTTTCCACGCACACGAAATAAAACAACGGGAATCATTGGGGAGTGGAAGGGAAATCTGAACTAGCACAGATTGTTTTTGGACAAACAGTATTACAATTCTATTTCTCTAAATCCTTATAAGCAGCGTTGAAATGAAAAGCAAAAAAAGGGATTATTATATGTGCGTTCATACCTCGGTTGACATTGCTCTGATTAAGGTATGCTTGGCATATCCTACTGTTCCCTAATTTTCAGGGCTCTTAGTCTTTCCACCCCAGCAAGGGTGCAAAGCGGCTGCTCCCAAAGAGGATCCGTTGTCCGGTCCCCTCTGTGCAGTCCCTCTTTTCTGGCGTCAAAATACGCACCGAGATCTTTGTCCTGAAAATCTGCTCGGTGTCCAGGTTAACCTTAGCACCTGGGCCCCCACTGACGCGACCAGGCATGGAAAACCTCAGCTCGATGAGCCCAGTCCCGCTGCGAAATTCGGGTTTGGGTGGCCGCTTTCTATTTTTAAGCAGGATAACCACAAAAGGGGAAAAGAAGTTAACCGCTGGACATTTTCCTCAAGACTAGCAGAAACGGGCTGGACTTCCCCTCTAAACTTTGGCGGGCCTGGAAAAGCAAAGTTTAGTCCTCGGCTCCGACCGGGGCCCGCGGTGCATTAATGCCGCAGACGCGGGCACACGCGCCCACTGGGCTACCTGGCAGGACCCGAAACACCGCTGACCCGCCAGAGCGGTCTCCGGATTAGTCTGAGCTACAGTTCCCGGGGTGATACCAAAGGACCCACACGGCTCTGTTTAGCCGACATCCTTTCCGGAGACTTCTGCGGTTCTCCCCCTCCCGCTAGTGAGAAGGAAAGGGAACCATTGAGATCACTAATTGGTTTTCTTCATTAAGAGGAAACGACTTTTGCTATAAATGGTAGTCACGGTAGTAGCTGATTCGATCTTTTAAGGGTTAGAAAGTTCTTGCGTTGGGGCTGGTGCCTCCGCTCGCCTGCACGACACCCGCCTGGCCCAGAACCTACACGCGGTCCTGTGTCGTAGAGACTGGACCGGGCCGCCGGAGACCCTGACCATCTCTGGGTTGGGGGTGCCGAGCCAGGAGCACCCGGAGAATCGGAGGCGGCCCAGCGCGTCCGCTCCAAAGGTCGGGTCCTCGGGCCCAGAGACCCAGGCCACCCGGGCTCGGGCTTGGCCCGGACGCCGCCGCGGCGCGCGGTCCTGCGTTGCGTGCGCCCTGCCTGCCCCGGGCTGCCGACCTCGCCGGGACCGCCCCAGAATCAAGGGAGACGGGAGACCGGAGCTGGGGGTTTGTAGAAGGGAACAACTCCTCCTCCCGCCCGGCTCGCCCTGCTGGCTCGGGAACAGCTGCGATAAAGGGCAGCGAGCTCGGGTCTCAGCAGTGTAGACGAGTCAGAAAAGGGGGCTGTTTCTTAGCCCCGCAGACCTGGGCGCACAGGAGAAAGCCCACCCGCCAGCCTGCAGCGGACGTCCCTGCGCCCCGCCGCCCCTAAGCCCCGCGGCCTGGGGATGGAGCTCGGCTCGCGGGGCGCGCGGGGCGCCCGGAACCGCCGGCCCAGCCCTTCTTACCGCGTCGCGGCCGTTGAGCTGGGCGCCCTTGGCCAGGCGGGCCTCGGTCTTGGATCTCCGCTCCATCTCCTCCATGATTCCCTGGATGTGGCCTCCGGAGATCCCGTGGAAGAGCATGGCTGGGGGGCGGAAGGGACACGCGTCGTCTTCTGCTCTGCACCCCACTATTTCCATGCACTCGCCCGGGGCGCTCGGCTCATCCGAGTGCGGGCGCGGAGGGCGGCGGAGGCTGCGCGGGGCGGGAGCGCAGGAGGGAGAGAGAAGCAAGCAGCAGACAGAGTGGAAATCGGTCTGCTTGGGGTGGGGGGAGGATAAAAAGGGGGGAAGAGGGAACAAGCCCCAGCGGCTCCCTAAAGGAGATGTGCGGAAAACAAACAAACACGGGCGGAGGGGAGGAGGCGGAGAAGACGAGTCTTACTGCTCCGAGAGATCGAGTTACTAATGGGAAACAACTGCAGCGGGGGGAGGAAAACAAAATCTGGTGCAGAAAGAAAACAGTTTTGAACACAAAGAAAGAAAAAGAAGTGCTATTTTCAGCGGTCCCTGGCTGCTCGCAAGTTCCCAGTGCCTGTAGGTTGCGTTGGGGACTGCTCCTGCCTGAGCGGTGTCCAATTTGTTAAGAGACTAAAGCCAGCCCATTTTTGATAATTTAGTAGGAGGAGTTCTCTCCCTGGAGCTGCCACGGATTTTTATTCAGACAACAAAGACCTGTCATACTCCTCTCAACCCCCTGGTGATGGGCAAGCAGGGACAAACATTACAAAGGGGTGGGGGGAATGGGGAAGGGGGAGGTGGAAGGAGGGGGCATTTACCTCCCACGACACACACACACACACACACACACACACACGCACACGCACACACATATCCTTCCAAGAGTTCCCAGCAGTCGTGTTTTAAAGGGGAAAAGGAGACCTTATTGTCCCCGCCCTGGCGCGGGAGGCCCGAGCCGGCCTATTTGATCTGAGTTCAAGATCACACCCTGGCACAAGGCACACAGAATATCAGCTCCCAACTTTGGGTTTCCTCCTTGTGGACTTTTTCATGCCCAGCCTACAGGACTATCGCCTGCAATGCATAAATATTGGGTGGAAATTCAGCGCTTCCCTGAAGTGAAGATAATGCTCCCTCCTCACCCCGCTTTTTAAAAGCAGCCGTCTGACGGTTCATCCCTGCCTCACCTCCCCAGAAACCAGGGCCCTCCTAGGCTCTGGAGCTTCCTCCGAAGTGGAAAGAGCATTTGGAGAGCCTACGTTTCTGAGGGTGACTCTTTGCAAAAAGATTTTCGAGAAGCTTGGAGTGTAGGGGACAGGGTGTGGACTTGCGCACGCCTGTCTGCAGACTGAACCCTGACCGTGGGGAGGTTTATTCTTCTTACACACTTCATGTTTGAAGGAAAACTGCTGGAGACTCTCAAGTCCCATTCGAAACTTGTCAACGTGGGCAGTGACTCGGGATTCCTGGGAACGTGGCGCCTGCCCCCTGGCATTCTGCTCCCGCTACCCACGCAGGACAGGGGGCTCGTAAAACCGACGCCACTGCACACCGGGGAGGGAGGGAAAGGGCTCCTCGCTGGGGAGGGGGAGGCGAGACCTGCCGAGCAGAACGGCAGACCTGCCCCTCACAAGAGGTGGGTCTGTTCTGTCGCCCTCTGTTCCTGTGCCGGCGGCCCCTCCCTGGCCCCATTAAAAAGTGTCCACAACACTCTGATACTGTAGATTCATTCAAATGGTCAGAGCCCCCCTGGGGGCCCGAAGTGGAACCAGCCCGGCATCACCCAGAGGGAGGAGGAAGCCCGGGTCGCCTGTGCTGCCCACCAGCCCCGCAGACCCTGGGAACTGCCAGGCCTGTGTCCCCAGACACCCCGGGAACTGCCAGGTCGGGGTCCCCAGACACCCCGGGAACTGCCAGGTCCGGGTCCCCAGACACCCCGGGAACTGCCAGGCCCGTGTCCCCAGACATCCCGGGAACTGCCAGGTCCGGGTCTCCAAACATCCCGGGCACCCCAGGAGCCCTCGCCGCAGACCCGCTTCCCTCCGCCCGGGGGAGCCCGACTGGAACTGTGACCAAATCCAGAAAGATGAAGGGAGGGAAGGAGGAAGAAGGGGAGAAAAGAGGAAGGGAGGAACGAGAACGAGGGGGAGGGAGGAAGGAAGGAAGGAAATGACAGGGGGGAGAAGGAAGCAGGCGTGCAGCAGCCTGACTTCCTGCCCGGAGTCGCCTCTTCCACGAAACCCAAGACTCCACTGTTTTCCTCTCCTTTTTTCTCAGGGTCAAAAATAATGTTATTTGCAGACTGGACGCTGTTAAGGTCCTCCGGGTGCCAGAATACAGCTCGTAAAACACAATTTCACACAAAAATGAAGCCAATCAAGTGAACTAAGCTGGAGATTCCCCACACACACTTTGGCAGCCCTACCTGACAGCAGGGCTGCTATTTACTGTAAGTAATGTAATTAGCCCCTTTGGATGGAAATCAATGAGCTTTTCAAACACACGTGCACATGAGAAGGGCCCTGAGGAGGGGCTGGGGGCAGCAGTCCTTTCAGAGACAGCAGGTCCTCTCACAAAGGGGCAGATTGCCCTCACACCAGTCAGCCCTACACTTGGAGGAAGAGGAGGAGGAGGGGTCTCTGAGAACGTCAATTAACCCAAGAAAGCTCTAAGCAAAAAGTAACCAGAGGCCCTCAACCCACGTTGTCTAGTTTCTGCACTAAACCCGCCCCCATACACGAAGGGGGCGTTTGGAATTAGGTTTGGTTGTTGTTGGATTTTAGTCCAGCTCAGCAAAAACAACAACAAAGAACCCAAGAACACCACTCCGTCCTAGCAAGAGATAAAACTTTGGAGACCACACGAAGGGAAAATGTAACAAGGAACTCCAGGAAAAAGCCAGAACTCTGTGCAGAGTCCACAGGGAAGCCAAGCGCAGAACCCCTGTGAGCCCCCCAATCACTCGTTCACTCATCTATTCCACATGTACCTGTCAATCACCTGCCAGGTACAGGCCGCAGAGCACTTTCTGCCATCGGCTTCAGAGCTGAATCCTGGCTCTGTCTGCTCTTTCTTATAAAACTCAGGTTTTAAGTTTCTGCACCCAGGGCCACTATTGCCAAGTTTCTTCCTTCTCAGTGAATGCAGGAAGCCTGCGGAAAGCTGAGGGTGGCGCCAGGGGCCTGCTGGAGTTTGGGAGGTCCTTGTTAGCTCTGTAGAAATAGCTCCCCATCCTTCCAGCCCCCCTCCTCTCATAGTTCCTATGAAGGAAGCCCACTGGGGGCGGGGGATGCCCCGAGAACTGGGTGTGACTTCTGGTGTTCTAAATTTTCCGTCTGGGAGCCCTGAGAGATTGCCTAAGAGCCCCCCACCCCCACCCCAATTCTCAAAGGTCTTTAAATAAGCACTTTAAATAGGAGAATGTCTTTTAGTTCTGCCTCCTTTCACCTCTCTGGCAAGGAAGGGGCCGGAGCCTGGCAGCCCTGGACAAAAAAAATTCCCCCTTCTCCCAGCTCCCAGATGAATGACCTGCAAGCCTTCTGTAAAAGTTGGAATGTTCACTTTTTCAGCTCCTGCAGCTGAGCCCCCACCTTATTCGATGGGCAGGTGCACAGGGTCACTCTGCATGCTCCAGGAATAGGTCTCAGGTCTCCCCTCCAAATTCAAAGCTCTAGTAAGAGTAATGGGGCAGATCCCTGGCCTAGGGTTGCCCTTTCTCACAACTGGGCATAAGCAATCCACTAAGCTCTCTTCCCTTTCTGTTCGTACAGCGCCCAGCCTGCTACTGTTGCCGCTTTCAGCAAAGCAGGCAGCTGGACTCCAGTGGAGCAGGGGAGCTGGGATTGAGAGTTCAGGATCCTAGACTCTCTATGAAGGTCAAAGACACAGCAGCGACCTTGTCCCCAGGTCAGGAAGGTCCACCTGGGCAAAGGGACAGGGCCAGTGGAACTCCCCAGGGCGGCGGTGGAGACTTTAGGTTGGACAGAGGAAAAAACCCAGCAAAATGTCCATCACTTGAGAGCACAGGTGCCTCAAGGTCTCTTTAGACCTGTAGGTCAGAGGCCATGACCTTGTGCTCCTGAGTTTGCCCTTTAAAGGGTGAGGGGTCACCTTTCCTCTAGACCCTATTAAGCTGGTTTAGGAGCCCCTTTGGTCTAAAGGGTGCAGCTCTTGAAACAATGTCCAGCTTTTGGCACTGCCGTGTGCACCCCAAGTCCAAGGAGAAAGTCAGCGTCGTCCTGGGGCCCGGGAACCACGGGCTCTTCGCGGGACCGCCTGGCCATGGATGCCTGGACTGCGCTGGCTGGAAGGTGAGACATGGCCAGGAGGCGCTGGGACCTTTTTCTTGACGTTGGAGACAGAGATCCTCTATGTGCAAACCTTCCCCCAACACGGAGTCTGGCAGGTCCGAACTGGCGCCCCCACACGGGCGCGCTTCTGATTCAGTCCTACCAAGGGGCTCCCTCAGGACAAACGGGAGCGAAGCAAACACAGCTGGGGCTGCGGGAGCCCTGCTGCCTGCAAAGGGGACTCGTGGCCGTGCCTTAGATGCGCCTCTCGCCGGCCTCTCGCACGCGCGAGCCCCGGCCAGGCCCTGCTCCTCCGGGGGCTGCGCGCCCACGCACGCCCTCTGCGCCCGCAAAGCCTCCCTTCACTCCTCCGTCCTCCGTCGCCCCGGGATTATTCTCCAACCGGTCAGCTGCCAAGTCTAGAATACCCGCCTCTGGAGCCCGAAATCCTTTTTCCTGAGGTTGCTGTGCCGCCCCCCCACCCCCAAATAAAGGGAGAAGTCCCGCACTGCGTCCGCTGAGACCAGGAGCAGAAACGGCTGCGCTGGGTAGGACTGAACAACAACAACAAAATGTGCGTGAAGCCAGTTTGCAGTTAAGCCCTACCCGAGCGAGGAACGGTGTCTTCTCTGCCCCCTTCCTTCCCTCCCAAGGAGGAGACGCCCCCAGCAGCTCCGCGCGGGGTCCGGGGCGCCTTCCTCACGCCACCGGCTGCGCAAGGCTGGGAGCGCTGGGACCTCCGCCCGGCCTGCGCCCCGCGCCCCGCACCCGCGCCCTGAGGGATGGCGAAGACGCTCGGGAGAAAGGGAAAGGGGAAGAAAAGCGGACTTCGGGAATCCCGCCCGTCGGGAGACGGAAGGAGACCGTATTCGCCAGCCTGCTGGGCGAGGTCCAATTTTTCAGACAAACACACACCCCTCTTGGTTCCGCCCAGCCAGGGCGCGCACACGCGTGTCCGCACAGGCGCCCACGCCTTCTCGCGACGTGCCCTGGCCCGGGGCAGGGAGAGGGAGGAGGGACCTGGCACGCGACTCACCGGCCTCGAGGGTGGTGCCGTTCAGCATGCTTGGAGCGAAGGGGCTGCTCACGCCTGACGGTGGTGGCTCTGCCAGGAAAAAGCGCGTCAGCGGCGGTCCCGCGCGGTCCCCGGGCGCGTCCTCCCGCACGGCGCCTCCTCCCGCACGGCGCCTCCTCCCGCACCGCGCCTCCTCCCGCACCGCGCCTCCCCCCGCACGGCGCCTGCTCCCGCGGAGACCCGGGCCAGGACAACCGCCCGGAGCGCAGCCCGAGCTTCCCAGGGCGGGGTCCCAAGACGCGCCCCGGGCGCACCCCGGGGGCGGAAAACCGCTGCGACTGGGCAAGCCCCATAGACGTCTTACCTTGATGTTGGATGTTTTCTGCAAAAACTCGGTTCGGTTCGAAGGGCGGGAGGCGGCGGCCAGAGGTGCGGACCAGTCCCAGCGTCTCGCCGACGGTCCCTCTGTTAATCCAAATAAATAAAGCTTTGGATGAAAATTTTTCCCCCTTCCCCTTTCTCTCTGAATTGATCTGAATCCCTCACCTCTGACCCTCAGCTCTCTCCACCTGTCTTTTATTTTCTGTTTATGCTTCCAGGGGGGGGGTGCGCAGAGGGCACAGACGCGGGCCGTGCCGAGACTCGCTCCGCGCTGCGCTGGGCCGTCCGGCCTCCGGTCGCCAGGGGAGGTGTTAATGGAGGACTCGCGGTGACCCAGCCCCATAAAGCCAAGGGCGTCCCGACGACCCGCGCAGCGGGGCTTGGCGTCCCGCGGCGCGCCCTGGGCTCCCGGCCCCAGGCCAGCTTTTGCCTTCCTGCAGCTTGTACCTAAAAGATGCTGCCGCCAGCTGGTGCCTGCGTCGACGGCGAAGGGGCGGCAGCTCCTGCGGGAAACTGGGCTAAGCCGGTGATTGTTCGCCCGCCGCGCCCCGCCTCCCCGCCCGGTCCTGCCTTCGCCCTCCGCGCTCCGGGCTGGGCGCCGGGACCGAGCGCTCTGGGGAGTGTCCTCCGCTCCAGGTCGGCTTCGGTGCGGGTCAGGAAGAGGGTCGGGGCACCCTTCTCGCCTCGGCTCCAGCCGCGGGCTGGGGGTGGCGATTAAGCTTCCGAGAGAGACCCGCGCCCCAACCCTGGTTCGCGGCGCCGCGGCCAGACCGGGACGGGGCGGGGGCCGCGTTACCTGGTCTCAGGTCCCCGAGGGGCTGCGTCGCCCCGGGCGCAGGCGGGCCGCCGGGAAGTGGAGGCAGAACCGGGGAGCCGGCCTCGGGCCAGTTATTTGCCCGCTCCCCCGCCCGGTGCGCCCTCACAGCCGGAGGCGGGCAGGCGGGGACGCGGCGAGGTCTCCGCGCCGGTGGGGAGGGGCGCGAGCGGAGAGATTGGCCGCTCCCAGACGCAGGCCTGGGCGAGGGGGCCGCCCTGCCCGCCCGCCCCTCCGCGGGGCGCGGGCCGAGGGCGCGGGGTGCACGCTGCCCCCTTGCCGCCCCGCCAGCCCCCGCACACAGTGCGGGTCGGTGGGAACGGACCAGGAGCTGCGGGTCCAAGACCTTGGCTTCTTCTTTCCATGCCGAATCCCGGAATGTCATTCAGAGCACCCGGGACGGAGACCCTCTTTCCACCCAGACACTTGGCTTCGCTAACTAGTCCCATCAGCCAGCTAGTCCTGCCGGTTTACCTTTTAAGCTCCCCCGCACGCCCCACCCCCGACTTTCCCCTTCCCATCCCGACCTCCTTCGCTCTTCCTTGGAGAACCCCCCGTCTGGGTCGAGTCTCGCAGCCAGGAGCGGAGAATCCTCCCGGGTTCATCCGCCTTGTCGGCGAGGCCGTCGCATGGATGGACTGTGATACCCGCCCGCACGCTTGGGCACTCTCCCCTCGTCCCTGTCCGAAGCAACCATTTTAGCCTCTTTTGGCTCACTTGTCGTTTCAGGTATTTGGCAACGACATGCATTCTACACACACACACACGCACGCACACGCATACACGCACGCACACACGCGCGCAAGCACACACACACGCACACACACGCGCGTACACACACCCATACACGCACGCACACACGCACACACACGCGCGCACACACACGCATACACGCGCACACACGCGCGCGCACGCGCACACACGCACACACGGACACGCACACGCACGCAGGCGCACACACAGACACACGCACACACGCGCGCACAAGCACGCGCACACACACGCTGGCGCACACACAGACGCACACACGGACACACGCACACACGCACACACACGCGCGCACACACACGCAGGTGCACACAGACACACACGCGCGCGCACACACGCACACACACGCACACAGACACACACGCACACCGAAGCGCACACCGGAGCGCACAGTTTAGAACACACATTTGTGGTGGGAGGAGGTGGCCGTCACGGGTCTCCGGTGCCCCTGGAGCCCGCGGTCCCGGGCTAACTCTCCCCTTTACGCTCGTAGCTCCAGCCAGGACGGCAGTGAGTCCGGACTTTGTGTGTCGCGAGCCCAACCTCGAAACCGTGAGTGGAGACCAAGGTCACCAGCTCCGGAGACGCCCCGGCGCCCATCAGAGCGCCCCACGTCCGGGGCAGTGGACGTCCCAGGGACACCCCAGTCTCGGGCTGACGACAGCTGCGAGTCCTTCCGCAGCATTTTCTCGGAAACAAGGCTCTCCGCGGGGCGCGCGAGAGGGCACAGACCACCCCCCAACCCACGCACATACTTAAATGTCTGACTCTCTGTCTTTCTTTCTTCCTTTCTTTCCTGGGGGAAGGGGGGAAAGTTTTGGCATCTAGGAGTACCTTTGAATTATTGAAAAAATAGCACCGAGTTTTAAGTCCTCCAACAAGGACAGACATCCAGCCCACACACCCGAGGCTTTGCTCGAATGGCGAGAAGACGAAATGGCAGGTGTCAGCGGGGAGTGGAGGGGAGGTTCCTTTTGGGCTGCCAGGGGCTGTGTGATCTTCAGGTGCTCACAGGAAGGCAACACGCCGATTGCCACTCGTCCGGTAGTGAGCTTCTCCCCCAGCCTTGTCCGGAGCAACACTAAGACCCGCAGCTTTCGGACGGTGGAACCGAGGACGAGGAACAGACGGTGCGAATACCTCTGGAGAAGGGACGCTGCGCTGGAACAAAGACCCGCACCAGGTCCGGAGAGCGCCTCCCTTCTCAGGGCCCCGTCTGCTCCAAACATACCCTGCGAGGGAGCCTTAAATTTTACTGGAACAAATGAAAGCCCCTTCCCTGCTCCGCACAATTCTGCAGAGAGAGGAGCGTGCGCCGTGATCCACCTGCCGCAAGGACCTCCGAGGTCAGGGCCCTGCCCCAGCCAAGGGGAGACCCATCGCCGCGGGAATCTGTCTTCACCCACAACCCTAGTAGCCTCCGCAACAAGATCCCTCAGTTTCCTTTGAGTCGTTCCACGTTAGAAACAATCTAGACATCAATCTCCTCTGATTTATTGAGCCCTGGGGCAGAAAGAGTCTCCAGAAACCTTGAAACTGGAGCAGCACCAGAGTTGGTTTAAACTGGGAAGTCTCTACGTCTTGGCATCCACACGTGTTTGTATACACACACCTAGTAAGAGCCCTGAATTTTACTTTACAATGTGCGAATACAATATAGCTTAAAGCTCTTGCAGCGAGGCCCATTTATGTGGCCATATCGTGTTTAATGTGGGAGCACTCGCCCTGTTGCCACCCCTCACGTGTGGCTCACATGCATCTCTCCGGAACCACAGCGGACTTCAGACCTGGCTTCTGGCTCCAGGTGCAGGGAGGAGTAAGAGCGTCCCTCTGCCCCAGTCCCGCTGCAGCCCCCCAGCGGCTCCTTTGCTGTCTGTCCATAAGGCTTGGAGTTCTGCCAGGAAGAACTGCCAGGAAGAGTCACCATCGTCCCACACGAGGGTTCTCTGTGATGGATGGTTGTCCTTTCTTCCTGGGCCAGTTCCCTATTGCAGAGAATACCCTGGGAGGAGGAAAGAGCCGCGGTGGGAAGGGGGCATCCCAGGAGTTATTTCCGCCTGCTGAGGAGCTTCCCCAACAGTCTCAGGGGGTCCCTGTTCAAAATGCACTTCCTTTCTTCATTGCCTTGTTTCTCCAGAAAGATGACTGTTGAGATTCTATTTCTTTCTCTTCTCCTCTTGGGGCTGCTGAAGAAAGCATGATCCATCCCCCACCCAGAAAATGGCCTTGTTAATCTTCCAAATCAAGTGGGAAACCTGGAGCCAGCGTGTTGCTTCTTGTCCAAAGAATGGAAGGGAAACTGGATCCCAGGAATCTCTATGCCTTTCTGGAAAGGCTAACTACCTCCATGATCGCAATGCTGATGACCATCTCCTATTCTCCTCGAAATAATTTCTAGACAGGACAATACCAGGCCACAGACACCACTCTGTTACATCCAGGGAAGCTGTTGACACTCACAGGGCTCATGGACACTGTTGCTTAGGGCACTGTGGTTAGAGCTCCAGCAAAACTGGGGCACCAAAAAAGCCAACAATTTTTTGGAGACAATTTAATATTTGACATTTTAAAAACCCAAAGAAGTCATAATCAAAGGGGAAATTAGAACCTCGTTTGGCTTCTTTTCACTTATTTTACAGTTAAGAAGGGCTTTTGTTCTGAACTATGTGAGAAGGCACAAAAACCTTTTGGTTGCTTAAGATTTCTAAAGCCCTTACTCCAGGCCACAGGCAGAGCCTGAAGCAGGCCCCTGAGGTGTCCAAGAACCATTCAGATTTCACCGGGGGAAGGCTGAGAGTCAGCTCTGGGCAAAGCCTGCCTTCCAAAGGGGCAGCAGCCTCCTTTTACTGAGTAGCCACCACTGGCTAGAAAAAAGCTTCCTGGGGGCTGCTGTCCTCATAGGGAAGCAGAGAAGGTATGGAAAGAATAGTCCTTGTGAGCTCCTGACTCAGCTTGGAGACTGATATCCAGGGACAAGACCGCAGAGAACAGAACGGGTGTAAAGCTAATAAAGTGTTCAAAAACAGATTTGCCTAGGAAGTGCCAAAAGCAACAGAGGAGGAAAGGGTGGGGGAGAGAAGAAAGAACGGTATAAACGACACATCTTTAACAGACTGACCCTTGAGTCAAAATGATTTAAAGATTTTATTGAAAGAACAGATGGAAGATGAGAGCATGTCTTGACGCAGGATGGCAGTTCTTGGGTCCTCATATGGTGCACAATATATTATATTAATCTCCTTATAGCTCGAGATATAAATAAAATGAAGAATGCATTCAAACTCTTCTATTTGCCAGCAACCTTCCTTGGATTGCTAACACTGATGAGAAAACTGGGGAACTGAGACTAAGGAAAACCAAAAGCTACTAATGCGACCCGATTGCTACTATTTAATGGAACAATCATTATTTTCTTTCTTCAACATATGTGTCTTATATTGAAGCAAAAAGAAAGGAAAATAACTATCAATGTGCCACTTTAGAAACACATAAACATTTGCTAGATTTTTCATTTTATTGATGTTCTTTTAATGTATGTATTTAAGATTAAACTGTGTTCAAATACTAACAGCACAGAAAGCAATGCTCAATTAGGGCTTTATTTTTAAAAAAATACAAATTCAATTAGACAAAGGAGATGAAATTGTTGTCAAACATAAAAATATGAATTGAATTGCTTCTTTTTAGATGGATCTTTAACATTGACTTGACCATATGGACACTGCAGAAAAAATAAAACAAATTATTATTGAATTATTTACCAATCACCTTGAAAAAGTACACTTCTCATGATGAAAAAAAGAAACTACTAACAATGTTACATAGATCATTTGATCTATAGGGTCCTGCAGACTAAGAGGAGAATATTGGCAACCTCAGGCAAATGGTCCTAATTAGGGTCCAAGAACCATTTCCTAAATTCATCCTTCCAACTTTAAGAATTTTACTTCAAAAACCCACTCTTAGAAAATCCTCAAGTCCTCAATTTACACAAAGCTCTTATGCACTTGATTAGAATCAGCTAAGGGCATAGGAACATACATAAAAGTGAAGGTTTAATTTTTCAATACTGGCTACAATTAATACATGCCTTTAGTGTCTATTCTTTAATTATAAAGTAGGCCGGTTAAAGGAAATAACACCTCCTTGCACTAAAACATACAAAGTGTTCTGTAAACATAGGTTATCTCTTTATAATCTCAACCCTGTAACAATTTACCTTATTACTATGCCTTTAAAAAGTAATAGTGTAGCACCTATTCCCATTTATTCTTTGCTCAAATTAGGAAAGGAGTAGTTAGGTCATCTTAATCAGTGAACATAGATATGTATCCATTGAAATAAACATTTTAGGAACTGTACGGCACTAAATTTGGGGAAATCTAGCTTCACAGTTATTTTAAACACACACACATACACAGAGAGAGAGAGAGAGAGAGAGAGAAGGGGGCAGGGGTTGAAAGGAAGAAGGAAGGGAGGGAAGGAAAAAAAGAAAAAATCATTATCATGTGAAGGAAACCCACCTCTCACTCTCTCAATGCTGGGCAAGTTCCTATTTATTTAGCTAATACAGAAGAAATGTTTTCTGGGATCTAGTTTGCAACATTCTAGATTTCTTTTCCTGCCCTCTTTGTGCTTGCCTAGTGAACACAACTTATGTGAAACCTCATGAAAAGTTTCCCTGTAATAAAAGAGCTCCCATGAGTTTTCAATCTCAGCATTTCAAGGAACTGATGCTCTGCAGTGAAACGTTACAAAACTCCATTAACTTTAAAGGCCCTGTGCTGGTACTAAGAACTTCACTGTCCTTGGCTAAAGTAGCTTGTGAAAAGTGCACTCCAGGTCTATTTGGCTCCTTTATTTGACTTGTTCAAATAATGGGTATTTACGCAGTCACAGAAGCAGCACCGAAGACTGCTGCCATAGCTCCAGAACTGTCACTCACGTGTCTGCAGGCAGAGCCACAACAGTCCCCTCTCTGCAAGTGGGCGAGCTGTGTGAGCACCACGTAGCCAGTAGCCGGATCCACGTAGTTTAGCTGGCCAGCCTGAAGTGTAATAAAATAAAACAATCCATTAATCTCAACATTCATCATATCTTCTCCCCATAATGTCTACTCATAAAATACTGCAAGAAAATTTAAAAAACAATATTAAACTTCTTCCCAGCAATTTTAATGGCACTTACAATTAAAGACTGAATGCATTCCGACATTATACACAGTCCAACCTTATGTGACATAAGGAGAAAATATAGTTTGAGAAAAATGAGAAGTTGATGGAAAAACAAGAACTCCTCTATGCCTAATAACGATGTAGCCACTGCTCCGATATTTTTCATTCGGTTCCTAGGTAACGAGCTTAGTAACAGGTGATTTAAATGATTTTAAGAGCTTAAGAGGCTGAAAATGAACTTTCACTCAGAAGTTGCAGTTGCAACCTCAGTACTTAAAATATGCGGATAATGATTTAAACTTACAGAAAAGGTGCTAATCAAAACCAACAGTCCTTATAGAAAAGTATTACCTTTGCTATTATTGAACACTTTTCTTTACCTTCATGATGTGTTACTCCATCGCATGTTTTACAATATTTTCTTCCCCCCCCAGAGTGTTATTAGCTGTATTTTTAGGCAAAACAAAATTATTGTTTGAACATATTAACACTCACTGCTTTCACAAGTTTAATCAAAAGCAACTTTTACTATGCCATTTCAAGTGTCGAGGAAGCATACCCTAGCTGCCTTCAAACATGGTTTTAAAAAGTGCCTCAAGTACTTTGTGTGAAGGTAGAAGTAAATAACAACGTCTTCTGTGGATTTGGGTCCTTCGGGCGTTACTATTTAGCCTTTCGTTTTTGCAGAGGAACTTTTCCATGGGCTTTTGGTGTAACCCTTTTACCAAGCAGTAACTCAGTGCATCACTCTTGCATAAGCCTTTTCATTAAAACACACGTGAGACTTGCATGTCTTCCGAAACATTTTTGTGTGAACCATGAACCGCTTCTTCGGTGTCTTATTTCATAGCCGAATATTTTACTCTGGTTGAGGTTCTAGACAAATACGTCTCGTGAATAAAGTGTGTAGCAAAAGGACAGATAAAGCCCCAGTCTAGGTTCACGCGAGGGCATTCCAGACACGCCGGGGCAGGGCAGCAGAAACCCAGCCAGGCTGGGCTCAGGGACCCCCTAAGTGCCAAGGCTGGACTCAGGGACCCCCCAAATCCTCGGGGACCACAAAAGCAGATCACGTGAAACCGGGATCTCTGAACACTTCCTTTCAACGACCAATTGTCAGAACTTCACTTCTTTATTTGCAAAACCCACGTTTGGAGACTTGAAGAAAAACAGACAGACACGGGGGACTCTGGAGCAGCCTTGTGTTCACCCTTCACAGCTTCTGGAGTCTTCTGAGCGCGACTCTCGGGCGACCCGGCGCCCATCAGGTCGCTCCTGCGCATGCGCCTGCGCTCCGCTTTCCGCGTGCACCGAGCGCCTCAGAGCCCGGGGCTGCCGCTCGGACTAACTTCTCCTCAGCGGCTGAGCCTCGCATCGCGGTGACACCGGACAAGGCGCGGCAGGAGCGCCGACGGGCGGACCGGAGAGCGGGAAGTTCAGGGATGCTCGTCAGGACCGGAGAAAGGTAAGCGCTGCCGGCCTCGGGCCGGAAGCAGGACCGTGGCGCGGGGCCCTGATTGGTTGAAACAGCAAAGCGGGCTCGTGGGGGCGCTGTTCGCGGTCCCCGGACAGTCCGCGGCCTGTGGGGCCCGCACCGGCGACACAGGTGCGGTGCCCCGAGTGAGGAGACAGCTCCTTCCTGTCACAGGCTGACCTCTCTTCACACGGCCCCGGCGTCGGCTCTCAAAACAGCGAAACTTTTCACTTATATCCACCAGATTTGTGTGGCGAAGTCGAGAGCAAATCACATACGTTATTTTCAACAGGAGAGCAGAAACGACAACAGTCGGCAGCTGTCAGTCACCTCCTCAGTGACCTTTGCTCAGGCTCAGCGGACCCTCAGGGCCTCCTCATTTCAGTGAGGAAAAGCCGACTTTAGGCAACCTTCGGGGTTTCTTTTCTACCCCCTTGGCTGAAGTCGTAAGTACTGGTCTCACGTGCACACACATGCACACACGTGCACACACACACACATGCACACACACATGCACACACGTGCACACACATGCACACACGTGCACACACACACACATGCACACACACATGCACACACGTGCACACACATGCACACACGTGCACACACACGTGCACACACATACACACACACGTGCACACAATCTTATGATAATAAATAGGTTACTTTCATACTGCTTTTCTATAAAGACTCAGTCTCTCTCGTTTCTTTTGTGAAGATCATAAACTATAAATGTGCTTCCTTGACACTCACGGAGCCTGACGTGTCAGGAACCGCGACAGGAGCGACACCGGCGCTGACACGCAGTCGCGAAGTCCATGAAACGGGACAACAGTGAGCTCTGAAGACGGCGAGCGCGGGGACACGAGGCCGCGGGCAGCAAAGGAAAGACGGGTGTCAGCCTTGCGCTTTCCTTACTGGGGCCGCTGCGTGGGCGAGTGCGCTGCTGATCACACGGATAAGCGCGACGTGCTCACACACGCACGTGCACACACGCACACGTGCATACACACACGTGCACATACAAGTGCTCCACTGATCACACGGATAAGCATGACGTGCTCACACACGCACGTGCACACACACGCACGTGCACACACACGTGCACACACACACGTGCACATACAAGTGCTCCACTGGTCACACGGATAAGCGCGACGTGCTCACACGTGCACACACACACGTGCACATACAAGTGCTCCACTGATCACACGGATAAGCACGACATGGTCTTCCTGCGACTTAGTCCCTTCACCTTCTCCATCGATGCCTTACACCCCCTTCCTCGCGCGCGCGCACACACGTGCACACACGCGCGCGCACACACACGTGCACACACGCGCGCGCACACACACGTGCACACACACACACAAGAGCGGCAGTGGGTCCCACGCTGCGCCGGGGCTAAGCCGGGCGCTGACTGCTGACAGGAAAGCTAGTCACGCTCACACTCGAGACAACCACACGGTAAACTCTCGTGGCCAGTTTCCCGGCGAAACGGCCGGAGCCGGCAGCGCGCGCGTCCAAGGCCTGGGGCGTCGCCGCGCGAGCCGCCTCCACCTCCCCTCCGCGGGCGCCGCCCCCGAGCTGCCCACGCGCAGGCGCGCCGGGGCCGCAGGGCGGGGCGTCTCACCGCGCAGGCGGCCGCGTGCAGCTCGGCGATCCGCCGCTCCGCCGCCGTTAACTCTTCGCCCGCCGGGCACGTCGCCGCTCCCTCGGGCCTACCCTGCGAGCCAGGCGCGGAGCGGCCGCCGTCTCCCTCGGGAGTGGAGCGAAGGGTGAAGCTGCGCTGCGGCTGGAACCCCGCGCCGACCCACTGCGGCTTCGGCGGCGGGACGGCGGGAGGTCGCCTCCCGAGCGCGGCACCGCTCAGCGCCCGGATCTGCCCGGCCGCCATGGCCGCGCCGGCGTGCGGGGGGCGGGGCGGGGCGGGCGGCGACAGCGGCGGGGGACGGGGCGAGGACGCGGCTGCCCCCGCCGTCGGCCGCCTCCGCACCGCGCGGACGGGCGCTTCCTGACCGGCCCGCGGACCGAGCTTGCGGCACCCACCCCCGGGCCCCAGCTGCGGGAACAAAATTGACTTTTAGGGCAGCTGATGAGGAGGCTCTGACGAGCTGCCGGGATGGGGAAGAACGTGCTGGTTCCACCTCTCTGGACCTAAATTCTGAGTTCTTCTTCATCTTCTTTATTTTTTTTCCCTGAGATGAAAGCTGGACATTTTTTCTCGTGTCAAGCTAGGCTTAGGATTACTCAGCACAGGCGCTACACCTGTTGGGATCCCAGAATGCGATCAGAACACCTGCGGTTTGCCAACAACCGCGCTGGGCCTGACCCGGGAGGCTGCGTGTGTCCGGGTTGCACATCTCGAGCCTTCGTGGCCTGGTGCTTTGGCCCATCCCAGAGTGAGCCCAAAAGTAAATCGCACTCTGAGAAAAGGCACTGTCTCCATGTTGCTGGGTCTCTGCAAAATACGAACTGAAATTATATTTCCTGTCTGATAGGTGAAAGTTATCCTGGTAACCCCCATAAAACTGAGTGTGAAAAAATGAGAGCAAGGCCTGGAGGTAATTGAAATTAGCGCCACCGCCACTCCCTGCCCCTAGCGTGGGTTTCAAGAAAGGAGGGTTGAAGAGTAGCGATTTTGTCAGTGCTCTTCAATATTGAGGAATTGAGGGCAGAAATGGATCTTTAAGGGCAAATGTAGATTCTAACATCATACGGGAGAGGGTGGGTGCGGTGGCTCACGCCTGTAATCCCAGCGCTTTTGAAGGCCGAGGCAGGAGGATCCCTTGAGGCCTGGCGTTGAGACCAGCCTAGGCAACATAGCAAGACCCTGTCTCTTAAATTTTGAAAAAGTTGTACAGGAGAAGGGTGACTAAACCATCATGTACCATCTGTATGCCTTTTTTTGGTATTTGTGTTTGCTATGCAACCGTATAGTTATATTTTTATTTTCTTAAATCTTAGTAGGAGCTAATTGAAATGACCTTGCTAGTTCATTATAAATCTCAATAAATTAATAAATTGGAATCCTATTTTGCAAGTCAGATTCCTTTGTGTTGGAATAAGAAATCTGGATCTGGAGACTGCTCAGTGGTCTGAGAAAAGACTTTAAAACCTGGAAGGCTAAAGGGGGACCCCAGGGAGAGCAATGGAAGGGTGGGACTGAACTTAAGATCACACAAAATGAACAACTGTGATTAGAAAAGAGAATTCAACACAGGTCAGCCCGCCCCTAACCCAAAATCTCAAACAAAGGAACTAAGTTTGGAGGTTCAGATTTATTGCACTGTTTTTGAAATTGAGGGTCAGGACATACTAATAAGCCATGACATCAATTCAAAGGGTGGGAACAGCATTTTACAGAAATGAAATAGCCTAGACCAGACTTAAACAGAAAATAAATAGAGCCATCTTATCTGGGAAGAGTATTGTTACAGGAAACTTTTGTTTCGGTGGGGATGAGAGGGTGGGAATGACTATAAAGAGGTTGAACAAGGGAGATATTTGTGGTAATGGAATAATTCTGTATCTTGACATTGTTGGTTACGCAAAATTTACGTGTAATTAGAAGTCATAGAGCTATACCTACATCATTTCAATGTCAAATTCCTGGTTTTCACATTATAAGCATGTGAGATGTCAGCGCTGGGAGCAACTCCGGAAGGGGTACATAGAACCTCTCTGTGCTATATTTGCAACGTTTTGCGAATCTATAATTATTTCAAAATGTAAAAGCAGCAGTTACAAAAAGGAAGAAAAATGGCTTTCAAATTATTTGGTAAGGCAAATCACTGAATTAACCAGAGCGTTTTTCCCCTATATCCTCCATTCCCAGGTCTAAAAATCATCCTGGAGACTCAGGCCTTCAGGCATTTAGGCTGAGAAAGCTCTTTTGTACTTTTCACATGTTACCCCGTGTGTGCATTCTTATATATATATATATCTTCAAAATATAATCAGAGTTGGAAATCTGTATAATTAAAAGATGAGAAAGTATGTCAATACTAATAATTTTCAAATACTTGGTAATTTAATTATAATATCATGTAGACATTGAATAGATTATCTGCCCCTTCTCTAATTTTCATTTGATCGTCATAGTTGAGGGTCAATGTCCTTGCACACCATGTAACTTTCGTCATGTCTCTTGTTTTAAAAAGCTTCCTCAGGGCCTTACTCTTACCCTATTCTAGCGTGTGTTCATTTCTTCTTAGATTTTCTGCACTCACAATAGACAAAACCGTATGCAAGTACGGCACTAAGTCCTGCCTTAGAATGGCTAAGTTCTTACTTTATTTACAAAGCATTTACATCTAGATTTGCTTTAGAAAGAGTTGTTTTGTGCCACAACTCTACATGTAGCATGATATTGGATATATTTTATAACCCGTCTCATCATCTGGGATCTTTATGTTGATATTGAACATGCTTGATACGTTGGAGGTGAGGGAGTCAGAGATGCATTCCCCTAGATTTCATTTACATTAATTTTTATTAGTTATGTTAGGACTAATATCTGGCAGGTATGTCAGGACCCTCTAGGTTGCAAGATACAGATCGTACAACTCAACCTGGTTACAAGAAAAGGAATTTGTTTGCTCATATAACCACGAAGCATGACTTGATTCAGGGCTCAAGGATGTGACCAGGGCTCTCTCTTTTTCTGCTTTGCCTCATCAGTGCAAATTTCCTTTTCAGGCAGGCTCTTTTCTCATTGGTGAAGGGTGGCTGCAAACAGCTCCTACGTTTCCATCTCCTTTTTGTCCAGGTAAAATGAGAGAGTCTTGTTATGAAGCTCCAAGATAAGAGAAGCCCTTTTCCCTCCTGGAAGTCCTAACGGTCGTATCTTCATCATGTGTCCATTTCTGAACCCATCGTTATGAGTCTAGGTTATACTTAAGCCAATCAGGGCCCAGCTGCCTATGGGCAACCTACAAACCTATGGCTGAAAATGGCCTCTGTTAATGCTGGGGGTGCAATTAATAAGTGACCACTACGATGTGACTTTCAAAAGCAAAATAAATTCTACCAGCCCACTAAATCTTTTTAGTATTTACTGTTTAAATGTTTATCTTTTAAAAATTTTTTTATTGTTCCTCCGTCCCCTCTAGAAGTCCTTCCTTTGATCTCCCACAATTATTTGTGTCATGTTAGCTTTTTATATATAGTAAATTTTTGCATCGTTTTCCCAACATAACAAGACAATAGGGAGCATGTCTTTTTCAATTTTGTATCTCCACAGTCCATCTTGTACTTTTGTACTTTCGTACATATGGCACGTAGTGAATCACGACTAATGAATTTTCAAATGGATAAATGAGTCAGCAGTTCTTCATTCTCAAATATATATTCCTACCTACTGAACGAAAATGAAATTTGAAATTTTAAAATTAATTTTCTGTACATAATATTGCACATTTATACGTATGTATTATTTATTAATTGTTGCAAATAAATACTTTTTAAAAACTAACTGAAATATACCAAATCTAAAATCTTATCATATTTATTAAATAACTGTGGGCTAGCTTACTGACAGACAAGACAGTTGCATATGTTATCAAATGATCTGACCTAAACCCTTGAAATGACAATACCTTAAGTATTATCTTTTACTGATTCACAAATGTTTTGAGCTGTTAGTGAACAAATTAGTACCGGAGCCCCAGAGCTACCCACGGATTTGTCCACACACTGCCTGTTTTGAGCCGTTCCTTTTGGACGCTGGTTTATGTATGTGATGCTTTTCAAATAGCCGAATGGTGTGTTGTGACATGTCATGCTCCGTGCAGAGTGCGTTTTCACTATCAGTTCTCATGACTGAGAGCAAAGGTTACACGCCCCTAAGGTTGCCTGTAGGGAATCTTTGTTTCATTTAATCGGACATCCAATAGCACACTTCGTTTCACAGAGCCGATCTTAGAAAATTCTTTTGGGAATTATAACCATTTCTATTTGCAAGCCCAGCAAATCTCTACTGACTTCACAGTGGATGCTCCTCCGCCAGCGCCACACGCCTGGAGCACGGCTGCGTTTGGCTCTTGTCTTTGCGCTTTGTTTGTGTCATCTTGGACCAGCGTAGACGGGCTATGTGATAGGAAGTCTAGCCATTTCGTCTTTCATCCACTCTCACAGTCCTTCTTTAATGAACGGTAGTCTGGCTTCTATTCCCAATGCCAACTTGAAGCTTCGGGGATGGCGTGATTGCTAAATCCAGTGCACTCACATGGCACCTCCATAAAACCCCATGTGCCCTTAACGTGGTCAGTCATCAGCCCATCAGAGCTATTCTCTTGACTTCTTAGACCCCAAATTCTCAAAATTTGCTTTTATCTTTATGATTATTCTTTTTCGGACTTTTAAAAGGGCACTTCTGCCTCCTCTTCTTCCTTAAATGTTCTCTCCTCAGAGTGCTTCAGCAGGTCTCCGCCCACTGCTCCTCTCGCTGTATAATACTGCCCTAAGTGATTTTATCCACGCTTATGTTTTTAATCTACTACAATATACTAATGACTCCCATATCATCAGGGTCAAAGCTTGTAAGAGCAGCATACCTGTCTAGCCATCTGCCTGCTGGACACAGACATTTAAAAATACTCCCAACTTGGCCAGGTGCAGTGGCTCACGCCTGTAATCCTAGCACTCTGGGAGGCCCAGACGGGAGGATGGCTTGAGGTCATGAGTTCAAGACCATCCTGAGCAAGCATGAGACCCCATCTCTACTAAAAATAGAAAAAATTAGCCGGGTGTGGTGGTGCATGCCTGTAGTCCCAGCTACTTGGGAGGCTGAGGCAGGAGGATCATTTGAGCCCAGGAGTTTGAGGTTGCTGTGAACTAGGCTGGTGCCACGGCACTCTAGCCCAGGCAACAGAGCGAGACTCTGTCTCAAAAAAT